GTGATTGTGACCTAGGAGCACCACTACTATGCTATAGACCCACAGGTCATATTTCTACTTTTATAATAAATATTATTTTTATTATAATTATTAACTTAATTTAATATAAGTATTTCAAAAATTATTGTAATAAAGTAAGTCTAATTATTATTATTTTTTTTTTTTATCCTTTGTCAAGCTAGTTATATATACTTTATTAAACATTTGTAAGCTATATATATAACATAAGATGCTAAAGCTAATTCTTTAATTAATTCACTCATTTTGATTGTTTTACCTTTTTAAGTACAACTTCGGGAATAATTTATTACTCTGTTAGGAGTTTAGGTAAACATCCTTCCAACTTCTAACATCATTACCTACAGATTACTACTGCAAATGGTAAGTCTAATTGTTAAAACAATATTTATTATAATAAATATAAAAAAAAATAGAAAGATAAAGTTAAATTATAAAATTATTATTGATTGTTTTTTATTATTTTTTTTTTTTATATTATAATATATTTAATTTTTATCTTATTTTATATATTATATATTTTTTTTTTTATAAATTTTTTATAAAATTTTTTATATTAATTTACTATATATGATATTAGAACTCTTTAATATTAATAATATTAGAATATTTTAAGTAAATCTTGATCTATTAGATTTTATAATAAATAGTAATGAATTGATAAGAATTATAAATTAATATATTTTAAATAATATTGGATTTTTATATAATAATAAATTTAACTATATAATTTTTTTATATAATTAATAATATATGGGGATGTTAATAAAAAGGAATATTTATATTAAGCAATATATTATTTTTCTTCATCTTAATTAAGTTAAATTTATTTAAAATATATAAATAATTCTTTTTATATTAAAGATTTATAAATCTTTAAATAGTATAGAATAAATATTTATTTTAATTGTTTTTAAATATAAATTTTTATGAATAAAGTATAAATCAAATATAAAATAAGTTAGTATTCAAAAATATTTAGATTATACTTTAAGAATTTATTGAAAACTTTAATAATGACTTTAAAGTAGTTTTAAAATAATATATAATTAAATTAAAAAAATTATTGAAGAATATATAGTATAATTATATCTGCAGTAGTGACCTGCAGGCAATGAAGTTAACAGTTGAAAGAATCTTTACCTAAACTGCTAATAGAGCGATAAATCACTTCCAAAATTGCACTTAGAGTTTTAATAATTCTTAAAATAGAGACAAGTAAGTTAGGTAGAGACTTAGCTTTAGTGATACATCTTTAATGTAAAGTATACACATATTTAATAAAGTACACATACCTAGCCTGACAGAGAATTTTTTTTAAAAAAAAAGAAAAATATATAATATAATTGTTAATCTTAATTATTATATTATTTTTTATAATTGTTTGATAGCTATCAAATTTATTACTTATTTTTTAATTGATTTTTAAACTTATAGTTTTAAATTAGTATTATTAATTATAATAATATATTTTTAAAATATTAATTTAATTTTGTTTATTATTAAGGATAATAGTTTTCTATTTTATAAAATATTTAGTTATTTTTGATTCCATGGTTTTATATTTATAAATATCATTATAATATCTTTATATATATATATTTTTCAATAAAAATTTCTTAAGATTTTAATAATACTGTATATAATATATATATTTTTTGAAATTCTGTAAAAGATAATAAGAAATTACTAGACCTGTGAATAAAGATGGGTTCCTAAAGGAGGAAGCAAGGATAAAAGTTAAATGTCCTTTACTAGGAAACATTAAAATTTTTAAATTAATAACTATAAAAAAACTACCCACAATTGTTTTTCATTATTCAAATTATTGATTTATAGCATTTCTTGACTTTTGTTCCTATTAAAGTAAAGAGTTATGAATTTTGTTCCTCAAAAAAGGACATAATTGATCTGCAAAATTTTATATGTTAAATATTTTAAAGACTCATCATTATCTGTGGATCAATAGCACAGTGGTAGTACTCTCAGGTCACAATTACAAGGTCTATAGTTCAATACCACTTAAGAATCAAAAATCAAAAATTATCCTTCTGATCAGGTTTATTGATTATTCTGTGAAAGTTATACCCAATTATTCAGAACAAGCTTCAATTAAGTTAGATTGCATAAAGATAGGACTTCTGACCTTCCATTGATTAGGGGCTGAGATTTATGATCATACTATTGAAAGAATTGCATAAAGAAAGGCTTCTGGTCTAATCCACTATAAATGCCTTACAGATCTTCGGCTTTGACAGTCTCCAGGATTTCATCCTTCTAGCTCAAAATATTCCAATATGGTGTTTCGCTTAAATGAAAATCAGTTAAATGGGGCTGATTCAATGTCACAGGTGATAACAAAGAAGGTAAAGTGTCTCCTTTCAAGGTTTGAGTAAATAATATCTTTGGAAGTATTGGAGAGTAAAATTAAAAATCCTGTTAGATATATATTATATAGCCTAGTTTAGTGAATATAATACAAAAAATTTATAAAGCTCACTACTAAATTAGCCTGTTTCACCATCTATGACTATGTATTTGACCATCCAACCCCTAGCTGGGTCTGCCCCACTCACAGAGTGGTAGCAGGTTCACCTAGAGAAAATCGTAATAGGTTATCATTAATTTGCATGTATATAGAAATATATAGTTTGTATGAGATGATTGATGTCATGCCCTAAAGGATTTCATTATCCAAGATGTTAAGTTAATTCTTAATAAAAAGTGCTTGCATCTAATACCAGTTGTGGTTTAAAAATAAAATAGTAAAAATAATAATAAGAATTTACCATTAAAAAAACTTTTTTACTAGAAATAAAATAAATCAAAGTTTAAAAGATTTATTATGGTATTTGATTATTCATTGGAGAATAATTCGAATTGATGAGAAGGTGAATATTGGATTTTAGATATACTGCATTTGCAAAGCTTGAATTTCGTATGACATGTTTTCAGTAGTAATAGGTGAATCAACGATTTACTGTATATTAATCGATCTATAGATTAGAATAAACAAATAAATAATCTGCAGCGGTAAATCCAATTAATATTCAGGTTTGAATTCAATTTAAAATTTTATTTCTTAAGCATTTGAAAGTGTTCGAAGGAATTTCATCCTAACCATTATAAAAAAAATTTTTTTATCTAAACCCATCTTCAGGTTATTTATCGAGTGCCAATGTATACAATGTAATTTCACATTTGTCAAACGGAATCATATGCCGAAATGGGCTAAAGGCTAAACTAAAGTTAGACTAGGGGAATCATTATGATTTCTAACATTTCTACGTTTATCCAAATTTACACAAGATCGTTAAAAAGATATTAAGATACCGCAGTCAATTCTTTTGTGACACGTCGCGATCATCGTTTTTTCGCGAATACCAAAATTTTTAAGTTATAAAAGCGTTTACAGGTGTGTAATCACAAATCCTTTATAGTTAGTGCCATCGATCTATCGATCTCTTTTACAACCACCAATAAAAAAGCCGCTTCGTAAGTAATCACGAGTAAAAAAAAAAAAAAAAAAAGGTAGTAAAAATAATGATAATACGCACGATGTGTGTGCATTTCTCTAATAAAAATTATTTTAGATATTGGTTGCATGAATCTTGCATTTTTCGAATCCGGGATTGCATAAATCTATCTTGCTGAGTCATGGATCTCAAGTTATCTTGGGTCGCACGACACGCGAAACTTGGTTGTGCGGATCTCGGCATTACCGCTATACCACGATATGCGCATGTATTGAGCATTGAGCTCAGGTAACACAACCAAAAAAAAATTTAATAATAATAAATGCATACCAAAATCAACAAATCACCAACGTTTTACGTAAAGGGATGTTTAAGAAACAAAAAAAGTAATATCATTTGCATACTATACGGTATATACAGTAGGTACTATAGGGATATCCGTATGTATCGTGCGCACGTTAATTATGTCATTTGATAAAGTTTATAATTAACCACAGTATGTTATACAGTATTTAGTTCGACATGCTTTAAAGAAAAGTTTAAGAATTGTGTATGATGCATAACCAACGAAGAAAATCCTTGTGATTTCAATCAATTTTCCACAAATTCTAATTATCATTTTAGAAGTTTTAATAAATTTGGAATTTTTTTTTTTATTTTATTTTTAACTTTTATGACTTTTGACATTCCGAATCATGTGTGGGTCCGAATTTAGGAACTTATTTGGGAATTTGATTCTTCGATAATTGAAATGCTATTATTTTTTAATAGTTTGAAAGTATGATATAAAACTATGAAAGGAACAATCGATAATTTTCGGAGTTTGTTTTAATTATCCAAACCATCATGATATGACGATTGTTGCTTTCCTCAGCTACATCAGATACATGTGAAGTTGAGCAGAAATCTTCACTGTCAGGGAGGTAGCGATGTTCAGGGTCTCTCGGTTCGCGGCAAATCAAATAGCTATCACGTAACAGTGTGGCGCCGATCTTTCCAGTCACGCTCACCACTCGCATGACGTAATTATGGAATCTCCGGCTAGCTCAATTAAGATAACATGAATGCACAATTTTAATTCGTCCAACGTATATTATCTTTCCAAATCGGTTAGCCCAAATTTGTCTTGATTCCGAAAATCAAGGTCGTATTCTTAATTGCCTAAATAAGCTAGCTGTCTAATAATTGCTCTCTTTCGCAGTAAAAGAAAAAAAGAGGTGAAGGGAAGTGAAAATGAAAATCAGAGACCGATGATAAACCATGACATAGTTGATTCCCCCTTTTTTTCCCCAGAAACACTATCGTTTTCGTTTTCCTCGCGGTCACCAGGAGTATTCGATGGGTATCCTTTTCTTTTTCTGATCGATCTATTGCTTGTGTTTATTACTCGTCGCACATGCATCAAAAGGTATAAATATGCCGGCATCACAATTACTCATCAAAAAAAAAAAAAAAAACAACATTTTCTTTCTCACAACCTCAGCCAACAAAAGTAATAATTTAAAAATGGGAAATAACTCATCTTCAAAAAGAAAGTCAATAGGAATCAACAATTACATGGAACTGTTCTCCACAAAAGATTCCTCACAACCCATGGATGAACGAATGCAGTTGGGAAACTATATAATGCGAGAGTTATGGAATGGAAGCTTCTCTTCACCGATTAAGGATCTATTGACCAACGGTGGTGCCAAAGTTCTAGATGTCGGGTACGTTGTAATAATATGATTGTATGAATGTGTGCTCGATAGCAATCCTTGTTGTTTACAATTCTAATCGTCGTGAAAACTTCCATTCAACAGATGCGGAACTGGTATATGTCGTGTATACATTCATCTATTGTGTGCCCGAGTTCGTAGACTCTTTATTTACAACCATCTCATTAACTAGGTACATGGATGTTTGAAGTCGCTGCCGATTATCAGAAATCCAGATATATAGGTGTGGACATGGTGCAGCTATTCCCGACCGGTGCAATTCCATTTAACGTAAAGTTCATAAAAGAAAATCTCTTGGATGGATTACCGTTTGAGGATGAGTCGTTTGACTTCGTGCATGCACAATATCTTATATTTGATATTAAAGAAGTTGAGTGGGAAGAATTTGTGTGAGCATTTTCTCTTATTTCACTTACTTCATTTCTCTTTTTCTCACAAATGAATCGAGTTACACAACAATTTTCAAAACTTTTATAGGTATAAGGAGCTGATTAGAGTGTTAAAACCTGGTGGGTGGTTGGAAATCTCTGATCCAGAATTCAGAATTTCCAAGGCGGGAAAAACTACCCAAAAATTTCTGAAGACTGGTAAGACATGATAAAGTTTTATTCCACGGCTCAACCAGCCTCCTCTTCGCTTTTCAAGGATTGATCAACACCTTTTCTTCTTCTTCTTCTTCCTTACACCAGCACTTGACAGATTTCACTCCTTGGGCGTGAATTTGTGCGTGACCTCACGTCATCTAGAACTGATGACCCGTAATCCAGAACTCAAATTGGTGCAGCATCAAGTACGTGAATACCCTCTGAATAGATGGGACGGAAGACTTGGCGAAATTGGAAGATCATTTATGATGGAAACATGTCGGAATTTGATGTATAATATTTACGCAGATATGAAAATCAAAAAAAGAAAAGTTGATGAAACGGTGGAGGCGATGGTGGAAGAATGGAAAGTGAATGAGACGTTCATTAATGTTCATAGAATTTTTGGGCAAAAAGTTTTGTAAATATTATAACGGAAGGGAGGGGATGACGAATTTGGAGTGGGTTTTTGGCATGTATAAAAAATTTTTTTTCTCTTCATTTTATCAATTTAACAAGTTAAATGCATTTCATTTTTAAGCAACATCTCTTTACACCTAAGCCATAACGGGATAAACTTCGAAAAAAAAAAATTGTAATAATAATAACGATAATCGAACAATTTTTTCTTATCTTTACCGGATAGTAAATAAATTCCAAACTTCTTGTAATTAGAAATTCATATCAAGTGATTACTTTGCCATATCGTCACTAGCCACCTTTTCTCGTTTGATTAAAAAAGTTAACTGTAAAACCCATGTTCCGAACCTCGTGTTAGAACCACAATGAACTAGTGCCGGCGCCAACTGGCTCTCGAAGGATGTCGCAGGTATCACCAATGGTCGGTGCGTAGGCGCAGATTTTGCTTGTTTACTTTTCGTCCACATAAATAATGGTCACGGGACGAAAGATGTTTTGCGTGAAATAAATGAAATGTTTTGCCGATTGTGTACATGTAAAAAGGTTTATATCTATATATGAATGCAGTCCCTTCACCCGGATTACCCTTCTCCGATACTGTGCACCATGATGTCACCGCATGTGTAAATTAATAATGAATCTTTTCTTTTGTTAAAAAAAAAAAAAATTTTTTTTTAAAAAAAAAGAAAGAGGCAATCGATCTTCTGTTCTCATTGGTTCGTGCTCATGTGACGTGCTCGGTTAACTCTTTACCATTCAAAGTAATGAACCTACAGTATATCTTATCATAATGAATCTTATGGCAATTCTCTTTGCCTTCATGCAATTAAGGTTTGGTTCATGTAAATGATTGATTGAAAAGTGCTATATCATAACTTTTCCGCATCCAAATAAAATTTTAAACTTCACCTCCCATTTGCTAAAAATAAATGTGCTGCGTTCCACTCCAAAATTCCGATCGTGAGGATGCCCTCTTTTTTTTTTGTTTTCTCAAGATCGATTGGTCGCAGGTGCTATCAATTTATCAATGCGATAATGTGTACGCAATGTCCATTTTAAATTTTACTTATCTCTATCAAATCTCATAAAGTTAATCTACCTAAATTATTTCCATTGAATAAATCGTCACTCACATGATAAATTGCAGAACACTTCCGTTCACGCGTTATTCCTAATATACGTTATGGTATTTATACTCTACTCTGAGAATATTTCGATTTTATTGTTTTCAGGTCGTTCTCATGGAAAATCAAATTGTCTCACCGCAAATTGACGAAAAATCAAGATCCAACGAGAATTCGAAATGTATCATAATAGAAAAAAGGAGTCCACCTGCGTCATCGCAAAAAAATAGCCGTGAAATATTGCAAAATCCTTGTTCGACGTTTTTCGTCATTTCGTCAAGGGAAAAAGGATTATCGGCTGATCACGAGGAAGACGATCCCAGGAATTGGTCAACCAAGAAAAAGAACTTCATACTTTTCATAATTGCCACCGCGGGCATACTCGCTCCCATATCGAGCACGTGGGTTTCCCATTTTCAGTTGTGCTCCTCTTGCTATTAATTTTTTTTTTTTTTCACATCGGCAGCCGACCTCATTTCTAGGATATTCTTCCCGGCAATTACCGTGGTTCGTAACGATCTGCGTACAACTGAAGTTCTCGCTAACGGACTAGGTACGGATCATTTTCATGCTTTGCTGTGCGCCCGTGCCCTTTGGTTGTTAACAGGTTTGTTAAAAATAACGACAGTCGCCATATTTATCCTGTTCACCGGAATTGCGCCACTCGCCTGGGCTTCGTATTCGGACACTCGCGCTACGAGGCGTAAAGTTTACTTGGCTTCTATCATGCTATTTCTAGTTGCTAGTATTATATGTGCTTTTGCGAATAATATTTGGATGCTGATGGTAATGCGTGCTTTTCAGGCATGCGGTTCTTCGGCCGTTCAAAGTATTGGTGCCGGAAGCATAAGCGATGTGTTTAACCCTCATGGTGAATTAATTGTTCACGGTCTTCTTAAATATTCTCCCTAACAGAGCTCCTATTCACCAACGATCAATTCAACTTTTCTTTTTTTCAGAGCATGGTCGCGCCTACGGAATATTCTATGTCGGACCCTTGATTGGTCCCCTAATCGGACCGATCATCGGGGGTTTCCTGACCGACTACCTCGGGTGGCGTTGGATATTTTGGTTCCTGACAATATTTGGCGGAATTCTGTTTCTGTTCATCTTCTTCGCTCTCCCGGAAACTTTTCGTGACCGATCGGCATCATCGCTTCGAAGGCGTTTCAATCCGTTCCTCCCGCTTTCTTTACTCCGCTATCCCAATGTCATGTTATCCCTGGTCTACGTAAGTTCGATATTCGCGATTGTCTACACTCAAAATACTTTATTGTCAAGGAATTTTACGCAATTGTACAATCTCAAAACATCCGACGTCGGACTGGTGTTCCTGGGTCCAGGTACGGGATACATGATTGGAAGTGTGATAGGAGGAAGGTATTCGGATTTCATGCTTAAAAGAGCTGGTGAACGTAACGACGGAATCGGTCATCCTGAAATGCGATTAAGCAGTACTTGGGTTGCGATGGTATTGATTCCGGTATCTTACATTGCTTACGGATGGGTGGTCGCTTATAGGCTTAATATTGCCTTGCCCCTGATCGCAATGTTTCTTGGTGAGTTGTTACAGAATAGTGTGATTGTGAACTCGTGAGCTCAACTCCATTCCATTCTCTCATTTCACATTCTTCTTTAACCACCGCAGGGGGATTCGGTTGCCTAACCGTATTCAATTCAGTCTCGACATACCTGGTTGATGCGTTTCCCGGTCGCAGTGCCTCGGCCATCGCCTTGAACAACTTTGTGAGATCGGTTGCCGCAGCGGGCATGTCAGCAGCCGCCGCACCTTTGCAAAATGCTCTCGGTGTTGGGTGGCTGTACACTATGATGGTGGGGCTTACCATCTTGGGAAGTGGATGTTTGGTGTTGGTATTCGTTAAGGGGAAGAGATGGAGAGAGGAACTGGAAAGTAGGGATACATGATCGACATTAGCGAGACCATTTTCCATGGTTAAACAAAAACGACCAAGACTTTTGAACTCAACGATCTGTGTGCCAAATAAAATCTTTTGCTATCTGCGGCACTCATTGGTTTTATTTTTAAAATAGGAAAATTGCAAACGTGAATTTGCACTACAAATTTTTTTTCATGCATAGTATACAGCATATTCCATTTTCACAATTATTAAATCAAGCTATTCTTGATAGTTAATTAGCCTTGGCGAGGATTTTCTAATATACTGTACAGTACATGTTGTTTAATTTAAAAAAAGATGGCACGTTGGGAATATTGTGCATTCGAATATGTGTGCCATTATGTTTGTATTTCGGCTTTCTAACTATACATGGTAATGTTTATTGATTATGTAAATGTTAGATATAAAGACGTAATTTTTGAAGAATATTGTTACATGTATAGTTATATTATCACTATTAAATTATCATTTATACTGTATATACAGTATAATTCAAATTCTTTTGATTTTATATTTTATTTTATAATTTAAATTAAAATCTTAAATTCAAGATGATATAAAAAATATTTATTTTTTTAATACACAAAAATTATAAAAAAAAAAAAAAAAATTTTTTTTTTTTCGACAGTATTACAAACAATTATAGTTATAAAAAATTTTTTTATCAAATTAATATATAAGAAATGTTTAAACAAAAATCTTTCAAAAGATATAAAAAGTAAAATTTTTTTATTTTTATATAAAACAAGTAAGTTTTCATGATATAACAAAAAAAATTTTTGATTTTTCTTCACACAGCATTTAAATTTATTTTATATATTGATTTTATATATATATTAAAAAATTAAATTATTTTATATTTCAAAAACAAATTTCTTTCCTAATTATAAATAAGTTATATATCAAATTTTAAATAAATAAATAATTTCTTATCATATAATAAATAAAAATTATTATGTTTCTATTATTAAGTTAATATGACTTATCATTTGTTATATAATAATTTTTAAAAAACTTTACAAATTATATAAATTTTACATATTAATACATTTATTATTAAAGTTTATATTTTTTAGATATAACTTAAAACTCTTTCTACTGATCCTTTGACCATACACAAAAAAAATATTCGCAAGAAGTTTTTATACTTTCTTGCTAATAAAGTCTTAATACTTTTCTTAAAACAACTTGAAGTATGACTTCAAGAATCACTTCTATTCTTTCCCTATTGTTTATAAACCTCTTTACTCAAAAATTTAATATTTAGTGACCAAGAAAAGTCAAGCAATACCTTTGATACCAATGGCAAGAAAGTTCCCAAAGGAAGAAGAACTGATTGTGAAGTACTGGAAGATCTATTTAACCTTTGAAGCAGGATGTATATAGAGGTTTTTAATGATAAAAGTGCTTATTTTTCCCCTTCCAGTCACTTGTGGGTCTCTTAGAGCTATCGCTTTTATGGTTTTCTAGGAAATTTCGCCTACTTCAGTTTGACCCAGAATTTTTGGTAGTACAAATCCTCACCAAAGGTAATTGGCTGACATGAAACACATCAGTTTTTGAAATATAAACAAGTTTCTATTGATTACATTCACATGTTTCGATATATTATTAATAATATAGAAAAGAAAGTTCTAGAAAAAGTGTCTTTTCCAATTGTGTATTCAATCTCCAGGAAACAATTATGATACTGAAAGACAAGTGATAGGTATAAAAAGAAGATTCAACTCACATCTCTTATTAAGTTCCTCAGGTGGTGAAAAGGTTTTCTTGAACAAAAGCTGAGATTTTCAAGCTTCTATCCCGGTTAGGCAAAGTTCTTGAAAAGATTTTTTTATTTCAGTTAGGCAAACTCTTCCGTAATATGGTGCTGGCCTCAACAACAATAAGCGAATCTATACATTGAAAGAAGGATAAGTTCCTCAAACATTCTTCTTGAAGTCATTTTCAGGAATAACTAAGTTCCTTAAATATCATGAAGCTTAGAGAATATCCCAATCAGGCAAATCTCTTTCAAGAGAAAACTATGAAATGGAGTAAGAACCTTTTGGAGGGCTTTGTTTTGTATTTCCCTTTTTCCTTTTCTCAATGTCAACTTTAGCAATTTATCATATTTCGGGATAATCTATAGTGACAACTGTTAGTGATGACCCTGGTTGACTTAGAGGCACTATTGTCAAGCTACTAGGAGAGTGAAATATTGTTCCCTAAATCTGACTTAGAGTACCTAGTTTAGACTTAGTTTTGTTTAGTCTGAACTAGCTCAGTGGACTCCTCATATTTTTTAAGTAGTGTAGTCCTTTAATTAATAATGTACAATAATGAGTTAGTCACTTTGTGAAAGTCTGTAAAATATTTAGGTATTTCTTAATATTTCAATAAAGACATGCCATTGCAGCATAATTGTGGGTTAAAAAAAATATATATATATATATATTTTAGATACAACTTAAAGAACAATATTTTATAGGCAATAATTTTATAGTAGAAGAGTATTTACCCAAACTATAAATGAAGTGACAAATCACTTCCAAAGTTGCACTTAGAGTTTAACAATAAACTAAGACGAGTGAATTAGTTAGTGGTTTAGTTTTAGTGACACTATAATAGTATAACCTACATTATGTTTAATAAAGCATACATAACTAACCTGACAGCGGGTTAATAAAAAAAAAAATAAAAAAAAATTAAAGAACAATATTTTATTTCTTTAATAATCTGAATTATTCTTGATTATTAAGTTATTTATCTATAGATCTATCTAATAGATTAAAAATCTATCTATTTATTATTTTTTATAACTTATTTTCAATAATTTTTTTAAAACTTTTTTTAGATCATAATACTTTTACTGAATATTTTTTTCTATTTAAATCAGGCTTTTTTAAAAAAAATTATATTATTTATTGATTTTGATTAATTGATTTTGATATTTTTATAGTTTTTCTAAATAATAATAATAATAATAATTATTATTATTATTATTTTAAACCCATGGTTAGGCTAGTACTGTGTGTTTATTAATCATTAAAAAAATCAATAGAGATACATAGGGCAATTATATCATGACTAAACTAAAAGTCTCATACTAATACACTCATTAATGGCTTTCAATTCTCAGAAGAGCTTCAACCTCTAAGTGCAACCTTGGGGACAATACTTTATTTCAGATCAAGTTTTGGATGAAGACCCTTCTAACTTATTCATTATTACCAGCAGATTGTCACTACTTATTATTCTTCAAGGAACTGAATTTAAGAAACTATAAAAGAAAAATGAAAAAAGAAAAGGAAAGGGATATATCTAAAAATGGGCAAATTCACTACATAAAAATAAAAGAAAAAAAGGAAAATTAAAATACTCTATATCCTCCAAAGGACCTCTGCTAAAAACCTCTTCTCATTAGAAGTCTACCCTTCTGAGATACTAACTATCTGAGAAACTTATCTATCCTACTCTTGATTATTTTCTTGTGACTGTTTGAGGTACTTATCACCTATTCAGATCCAGTGTCTTGCTCAACACTTCCTTTTTTTGATCTTGATTTTGTATCCATCTATATAGAAGATGACTAATAATGAATCCCAGGTTCTTATATGATTTTTCAGTCTTATTGAATAACTCTCAATATCTTTCAGTAGCCACGCCTAGTTAAAGAAATTTTATTGATATTTATCTTGATTATGATATCATTACATAATGTCTGGGGAAATGCATTTTCAATCCTAGAGAAGAATAGTGTTTTATATTTTTTTGCTTTTCAGTTTTACAGCCTGACCAGGATAAAGAAATAACCTTCTTCGCATACTTTGTCTAACTGGGATGATAAGAAGTTGAATACCTCAGCTTGAACAAATAACCACTTTTTCATCACCTAGAAAATTTAGTGCCCATCCTAATAGCCTCATGATTTCTTTGCTTCAGTTAAACTTTATTTGGAGAAGTGGAGAAGTTTGTATCCTTGATTTCTCTTTCAATTACTAATGATGTTATTGAAATATATAAGGTGATCAATAGGAGCTTGTTTATATTCAGCTACTAATGTGTTTTATGTCAACCAATCAAATACCAGGTGATGTTGTGTTACCATAAATTCAGAATCAAACTGAGATAGGCAAAATCCCTCAAGAAAACCATAAAAAACAATAAGCACTTTAAGAGAGTATAAGACAGTATGTAAGAAGGTAGAAAATAAGCCTTCTCCTGTCAACAGAATCTCTATATCTTGTCACTTCCAGCTCTATAAGGTAACACTCCATATGTCAGTCCTTTTACTTCCTAGAACCTTCTTGCCTTTAGTAGAGGAAGTGCATACTTGAGTCTTTTCAGATCACTAGAGACTCAAGTTTTTATTCAAAGGAGTTTATAAACAAGTAAGGGAGAATAGGAGAGATAAATAAAGACAAGCTTCAAGTTGTTTTATTGAAAGTATAAAGACTTTATTAGCAAGGAAGTATAAAACTTCTTGTGAACATCTTTTTTGTATATAGTCAGAAGATTAGTGAAAAGAATTCTTTATAATAATAATAATTATTTTCTAATTAATTATTACTAAATATATATATATATTTTAAGTGCTAGCATAACCTTGTTTTATTTGAATATAGTAAATATTACATATACAATATAGATAAGCTACTTCTGTTTTTCAAATAAAACTTTGATAAGGAAAAATCACTTCATGGCAGTGCCACTCTTTTTTGAAACAAAGGAGCCAATAAAGGAGTCTACTAGTGCAAGAAAATTAAGAAAAAATCTATGTTGTTTGCATTCGAATTAATGTGTTCCTCAGATTTAAATCTGATAGTAATAGTATCTATCCAACTATTATAATTCTATCTTTAAAGTTATATTATAACTACAAATGAAAACTATACAAGATTAAATAAAGGAGAAGACTCTGCATACAATAAAGAAGGTACTGGTGAAAAAGAAAAGTTGATTTTGATATAGCATGATTTGAAAGCCACATTACTATTACCACTTTTGTATTATTAGCTGTTACTC